TAGAGACCATTTCACCTTAGGATTGCTAAACATTAACATAGGAATGTGATTTACTTTCCTAGAGATATAATTGAGCCATTATCACGCTAGGTTTGCAAAACATAACTTAGTTACTTAGTTAGAGTTGACCCTCACCAAGCCTAGCAACTTAGGTTAGTTTTGATTAGGTGTCATTTAGTTTAAATCGCCTATTCACCCCCCTCTAGTCGACATCTCGATCCTACAGCCTCACAATCTTTAATAACTCAGTCACATTCGGTACTCTCTTCCCCACTTGCTTCATTACAAATCCTACCAGCTTTCGTCAATGGGTAGACGCCTGGGCATTGAGGATCCGAATTGGCATAGTGATCCTTGTGTATACCTACTACCACCTTGGTGCCAGCGTCCTCTCTGCCTATGCGGTGACTGATGCCAACTAATGGCTTCGAGGAATCCTGATATTCGAGGAAGGCCCTTTTTTAGGTGCCCTAACTATGACCGTGAGGTATTTTATTATTTGCATATGCTTATTCATTCCGTATGGGCAATTATTTTATTCTTCGTAATACTACTCTATTCGTCAGGCCCGCACTACGGCTTGCGTATATATCGAGTGGGTCGATACAGAAAATCCCGTTCTCGACCTAACCACTTGTTTACAAGAAGGATGCTGGTATTTCGCATTCGAAAGTACTGAGCAATACTTGCAGAGAAAAGCGGCTTACGAACGATAATGTCGTGAACAACAGTGCAACTAGCGGGTGCTAACTACGGCACTCCCTCCATGGGAAGCCCGTCCAAGATGCACAAGCGGTGATCGTTGTCAGGTTCTTCGTTCCATAAAGCCTACGAGATTGGGTCGAAGGTTCTTTGTTTGTCCAAATATTCTTGACGACAATTTCATGGTAAGAATATTTTGATTATCATGATTCCTTATTTTCTCACAACATTTACTAACTTTGTTCGCTTCACATCTATTCTTTCCCCCCCGGAACCACCAAGGAGATGTCAATAGAGAGAACGGATAGACACCAGAAGGGTTCTAACTCCACCTAGCCGTGCTGTGCAGCTTGAACTACCAGAGCAATACAGGGATACTAAAGCGTGGTTTTAGAGAGGAGAGGGATCCTCACGTAGGGATTAGCTATTATCAGACAACTTGGCATATTGAAATTTGTACTTTCATGCTTCCTTGTCCCATTATCACATCGTCGTTGTGTTCAACTCTTGCACTGCCTCCCTCCTAGTTCGAATATAATATCATCTATGTAACCGCAATGGAAATAGATGTATCATGTTCAAATTCTACTACTATTTCTTCATGTTACATAATTCTCCTTGTTTAAGTCTATATAATGTTTCTACGACCGAGATTGCGATAGGCCTATATCAATTTCGTACACTAATACGTTGAATAAGTTACAAAATAATATCTTACTTAACATATGAAATTGCGAAAACAACCAACTTCAATATATTTTTAAAACATTATTAATAAGTTTTACCAATAAATAATTCTTTAATTATTATTAACATAATAGAGAAAAATCATTTGGCTTGTACTTAGTACGAGCCAAATGCTCTTTAGGGCTGCAAAAATTGCATTTAGCCCCTTGCCGCCCTCTAGAGGTGGCAAGGGTGTAAATGCAAAATACGCATATGGCACCGTCCCTCCCCCGTTTGCCACGTCAGCTTGCCGCCCTCCATTGGGGCGGCAGGGTCTATTTTTGTAATTTTTTGCGCCGATAGATTATTTCTGTAAATATTAAAAAAATTTAAAAATGAAAAAAATTCGTCCTGTTTCCCATTGTCCATATCATACAATGTCTTTTCTCAACGGGCCGGATATAACAAGGTTTTTCACCCCATCACATCGAATGTTTGGCCACATGCATGAAGTATTAAATATAGAAAAAAAACTAATTACACAGATTGTGTGTAAATTGTGAGACGAATCTTTTAAGCCTAACTGCTCCATGATTTGACAATGCGGTGCTACAATAAACATTTGTTAAATTAGGCTTAATAAATTCTTCTCATGGTTTATAGGCAGGCACTGTAATTTGTTTTGTTATTAGATTACATTTAATACTTCAACTGTGTATCCGTATATCCAATGTGACACGGCAAAAATTTTCACCCCTGGATCTAAACACAGCCAGTCATCATGGCACGTTTCCTTACAACGCCTACGTTTGAATCGAACAATGAAACGATGGATTATATGGTACTACCTCCATCCCCAAATACTTGTCGTCTTGAGTTTTTGTTTGTAAAATTTGATCATTCGTCTTATTCGAAAGATTATAGAATTATTATTTATTTTGTTTGTGGCTTGTTTTATTATGAAATGTACTTTAAGTATGAATTATCCTTTTTTATATTTACACTAATTTTTCAAATAAAACGAATGGTCAAACGTTGCAACCAAAAGTCAAAGTGACATCTATTATGGGACAGAGGTAGTAGTCCATTTACATGGGTAAGCTATATTTATATAGTATTTATGTGGACTGGATGTTTCTATTTCTATGTTGTTTGAGGAGAAAGAGTCAAAACTTACACTATAAGTTTCATATATTTGCACTATAATTTTCAGTATTATGATGTAATTGGTTATTGGTTTAATTTAGTATATAAGTAAAAAAATAAAAAGTAGAAGGGAAATATTAGGGATGGTCTATGTGTCAAACAACTTTAAAAAATAAATTTTATAAAACCCTATATGATGGTCCAAGTTTTGCAAAATTGCGTAAAGTTTGGCACGTGGCACATTTCTAGGTATTATGGTTATAAAGTTTTGCAAAACCACATTACTAATCATTTTGACTTTGATTTACCACACTTTTAAGATCTACAATCATATCTCAAATTTATGAGTGTTATCTATCATATAGATGTTACACCCACGATTTCTATTTTGATATAGGAGTATGTAAAAATGGTTAATGGTGTAGTTCTGTGAAATTTTCGAACCATAATATCTATGGTTCTATGCTACGCGCTAAAATATATATGGTTTTGTGTAATTTGGACCATAATACCTGTAGTTTTGTACAATTGATATAACCCAATTAGTTAATGTGTGAAACAATAGAACTCCTTGTATTATTAGTTATCACAGAACAAAATATATTATAGAATTTTTTTTATCACAAAATTTCAGATAACATAGAATGACCACATGTTGATGAGTTGGGAAAATGGAAATTAAGAAGTATAATTGTAATGTGGAACCGGAGAAGGGAGAACATCAGAAGCAAAAGTACACGTTATCTTGGACTAGTCAAGAATATATATACTGACCAAGTATGCGAAGTTGATCCAACAAAAATTAACACCCCAAATGTACTGAGGAGAGCTTGATAAATATTTTACGGGGGCTTCTAAACTACTCCCTCCGTAAAAAAAACCAATCCTAAATTTGAATCTACATATACACTATGTACAGATTTAAACTGAAGATGATGGCAGCGAGTCAGCGACGCGTGTGAGAACGGGGACGAGTTCAGCTGCTGACGTGAGTGGAGGAGGGGGGCAGGCCAAAACATACTCGGAACAAAAACGGGTCAAAAACCCAAACCTAACTGCAAGTCTTGGTACGATCCAACGGTCACAAATTTGGAAAAAAAATACAAATGAATAAATCTTTTCATTTTCTTCAACTCTTGCTCCCGATTGAATCTGTCTCCCTCAACCATAATACTACATCCGTCCCAAAATATAGCTACATAGTACTAGGACCAGATTCGTAGTACTAGGTAATGCCACATCTAGTACTAGGTAGCTACATTTTGAAACGGAGGAAGTACTGAGTATAACACCTCCCCAACTTTCGAAACCAGAGCAAATCGAGTCTCTTTGGATAGAGGTTTCATCCTTCATGACGCTCATGAGACTGTCGGTGAGAAAAATTAAAATAATAACAGCCCCCACCTCTCCCTAGGCCCTAGAGCAAATCGAGTCTCTTTGGATAGAGATTTCATCCTTCATGACGCTCATGAGACCTACATGTTAATGAGAAAAATTAAAATAATAACAGCCCCCGCCTCTCCCAGGCCAGGCCCACTTACATTTGGCAACTTTCATATGTTGTAGACTGTCCTCACAGACCAACACAAGTCTTTTCTGCACACTAGGCCAAGCACGCTTAACCTCAGAGTTCTTTAGATATCGGTTTCTGGAAAATAAGTTGCAACTTGTTGATGTAAGTATTCTATTAATTCTATTAAGCCTTGGGCCAAGATGTCACAATCCATGAGCCCTGCGCTGCATCCGCTGGCCTTCGACCCGGTTGCCGAGGTCGCTAGGGTGGTAGACGGCGGCCGACATCGGCGAGCTCGCAGGGAGTGCGGGTAGGAATAGCGAGGAGCTACTATCCTGAAATTGTTGTCGCCGTCCGACAAGGCATCGTTGCCTTGCTCCTCTCCTGACATTCGATGGGAGTTTCCCGGACTAGGATGCCACATCAGTCAAATCAGCTATCCATATTGTCTTACTACTTCAGGGCCTGTTTAGTTCACTAACGAAAATTTTTAGCGTGTCACATCGGCGATACGGACACACATTTAAAGTATTAAATATAGACTAATAACAAAACAAATTACAGATTCCGCCTAAAAATTGCGAGACGAATTTATTAAGCCTAATTAATCCATCATTAGTAAATGTTTACTGTAGCACCACGTTGTCAAATCATGGCGTAATTAGGCTTAAAAGATTCGTCTCGCAATTTACACGTAACCTGTGTAATTATTATTTTTATTTATATTTAATACTCCATGCATATGCCGAAACATTCAATGTGACAGGGTGAAAAATTTTTGTTTGGGAACTACACAGGGCCTTATTTAACCCGGTTTTGAAAGATGGATGTTTAATAATTTCTGAAGATAAAGGACCTACAGTGAACTTATTCCATCCCAAAACAGTGTGGTGGTGTGGCTTGGATGGGCCGGGCTGGGCCTCCTACAGTCCGGCTCGGTCCAACTATATATCTCTCCCACCTTTATCTATTCTATTAACAAAAAAGTGAAAAATAAAGAAAAATTCATTCTTCTTCTCCTTCTCCTTCTTCTCTTCTTGGAGGATATTTCTTCCCCCTCCGTCTCCGGCGCCGATCTGCATCCACCCGCCGAGCAGAGACCAGCGCCGCCGCCGTCGCCGTCCGTTCCTCCTGTATCGCGTCCTGGTGAGCATCCGCCCCTCGTTACGCACATTTTTTTATTCGAATTTTTTTTTCAAGAATGAATTTCTGTGCGTTAACCCTAGATAGTACGTAGCTTCCGTTGTAGATCTGGATCTGGAAAGCTTTTCTCTTGATTTGTTCGTAATGTGATACTAATAGCAGTTTCTTTGCTTGTTTGTTTGTTTCCCTAAAGAAATTTCTTTTTTCTGGGATGTCCGACGTTGGAGACGCCCCTGTGCAGCGCCGCTCTTGTTCGAATCCGGCCGGTGGTCTGTAGGATTGGGCGGCTGCGGCGGCGGCGAGATGGACGACGACGCCAGCATGAGCATAAGATGGGGGGGATTCTTCGAGTCGCCGGCGAGGAACCTCGGCCTGCAGCTCATGTCGTCGGTGCCTGCTGAGCGTGACACCAAGCAGCTGCTCTCTGGTAGCCCCTTCCTGCATCATCAGCATCAGCAGCATGTCCCGCACCACCACCATCAGCCCCATCACCCGCGTGACTGCGGCGCCAATGGCAATGCCAATGGTGGTGCTATGCCTCCTCCTCCTGCCACGGAGGCTCCCCCTTCAATGCCGATGAACTTCGCGCGCAGTGACATGTGGATGCACCCGCAACAGCAGCAGCAACATCATCATCCCCGCGAGCACAAGGCTCTTCACAATCTCACTGTTGGCCATGGTTCTTCGCACATTGCGCATCATGACCCAGTGGGCTATGGGATGATCCCCGGTACGCATACCCTGCAGATGATGCAGCAGCAAACAGAGCCTCAACTGCAACCCCCACCACCGCCTCAGCAGCCAAAAGAGGAATGCATTTCCTCGCCATTGATCGAGGAAAATGTACCTGTTATTGATGAGCCACCACCTCCCAAGAAGCGGCAGCAGGGCCGCCAACCCAAGGTACCAAGGGCTAAGAAGCCCAAGAAGTCTGCTGCTCCTCGTGAGGATGGCGCACCACCCAATGCACCAGCACCACGGAGAAGGGGTCCCAGGAAGAATATAGGGATGGTAATTAATGGTATTGATTTGGACCTCTCAAGGATACCAACGCCCATTTGTTCTTGCACGGGCGCACCACAGCAGTGCTATCGGTGGGGTGCAGGTGGTTGGCAATCTGCGTGCTGCACAACCACCATCTCAACGTACCCACTGCCAATGAGTACGAAGCGCCGTGGTGCACGAATCGCAGGCAGGAAGATGAGCCATGGTGCGTTCAAGAAAGTACTTGAGAAGCTTGCTGGTGAAGGTTATAATCTTAATAATCCGATTGACCTGAAGACCTTCTGGGCGAAGCATGGAACAAACAAGTTTGTTACCATAAGGTAAAAGACAATGAAATTCTAAAATTTGTTGGCTTTGTAGGTTGCTCTGCAGCTGTTTGGTCTGAGTAATTGTCTGTATGTACTCTAGATTACAAACTGCAGAATCCTTTTAGGTGTAGGTTTTAGGCATGTCCTGTCCCTTTGCAGTAGTTTACATGCCTCATCTGTGACCTGGGTGCTGACCTGTATGGTGGCTATCTGCATGTATCTTTGTCATTATCTTTACAAGTAGCAGTGTAATGCGACAATCTCTAATTTAGGTGGCATGAAAGTTAATCTGTTCAACGTTTCTCATTATGCTTAAGTCTTCTGTTATACAATGCTCCATTGCAATGCCTGGATGTTTTACAGAATACAATATAGTTGCTATCTCATGAAGTAGAAACGTTATCTTTTTCATGCTGTGTTCTGTATGCATGCAAAGTTTATATAGCCTATATATACATGTCTTTTCTTTTATTGAACTGATGTTTGCATGCATGATGAATGTGGGCAAAGGTTCTGTACCTAATCTGGATTACTTAACCAGTTCTAATAATATCTTTACTGTGAGCAAGGTTCTTGCCAATTTCATTTGATGTGCTCAAATCTCTGTCAGACTCTATTCCGAAGTCCCTTGGTATCAAGAATTTTTAGAGTAAATGCTGAGGAATGTCTTTTGCCACTTGTCTAATGTAACATGCCTTTAGTTCTGCCTTATACGTAGATGGAACTCTGGGACCATTGATGTCATCTTTGCTATTTAGTGATTACCCTTTAAGTCCATGTGTTATTATTTGCACTTCTTTAGGAGGCAATTATTGGCTAGTAATCTAAGTCCTATGTTTCAAACTCAGCACTTTGTTTAATCAACTTTGTGCAAACAGTAAACAGCAGTCAAAATATTGCAATTACATTCTATTATTTTTTGATTTGATGATCTTTTTTGGGATAAAGAAAATTACCTGTATAGTTTGAACATATTCTGCTCTATTATGCTGCAAGATATCAAGCTATCTGCATAAATCTTGTCATCCTGAACCTTCAAAAAATACAGTAATATTTCACATGTTATGCATTCAAAATGTTGATCCTGTCTACTAGGGCAATTTAACTCTGTCAAGGCTAATTGCATTATAAGGTATGCATGTTCTCTATTTTTTCTATTTGTAGATTACAGAGAAAGTGGTGCCATTTGTAATAAATGATGTTATGATTCAGCAATTTTCTTTTTTATAATAAAGTACTATAATAATTAGAATGCTGATATGAGAATGAACGATGATGATTAATGAGCATCAGAATTATATGAAATGTTAGATAATTAATTATCACAAAAGCTATTTTCTTTCCAACTTCATATATGCTGAAATGTGGGTTGCTGCTAGTTTCGTGTTGCCTAAACTGCAGTGTTACATGAGAATATTGAATGTTTGCACATATGTTTTAGAGGCCTTGAGTGCCACAAACGATGGACAGCACCTTTTTGTAAAATGTAAATACCCAGTAAAATTATTGTGCAAAATATTTGGTAGTCTATGAAGCCATTAGGAAAATAATGTAATTCTGAGCAAATAGAAGCTAATACTGCCAATACTAGAGCTATTGTGATAGATATAGTTCACTGATATGATATGTGTGAAACGTTATAACTTGAGCTATTGCGAATTGCGATAGCAGAGTGTGCTATTTATCAGCATCATCATCGTACATCTGGGAATGTTGTGTTAGGTGATCTGTACATGTACTCTAGTTCCATACATGCTAGCTACTGCTGTTTTTCTTGATCTGTTCTGTTGGTGTGCATGCGCCAGACCGATGTATGTAGATCTATTATCTGCATTTGTTGATCGTTGTACATGTTTTTTTATTTTTTGAAAGAAAAGTATGCTATGTTTAGCTTGCTGAGATGCAAATGCAATGCATCATCAGGCTGAGATGTAGCTGCAAATAGTTCACTGTGATGTTTCTCATTGCTTCCACAGTTACCATGGAAGCAGCAGTATTCCCATCATAATTGCCATGGAATTTTGTGTATATGATGTGATATGGTTTTCACTACTGTTCATACTTGATGTGTTCTAAACAATGAGAGTGTGACACTACGTATCTTGAAGCTACAAAATGAATAATTACCCTTTTATTCCATCTATATATGATTGTTCTTCCATTTGGTCATTTCATTGTCTCGTGTGGTCTTCACATGGCTTCATTGTTACTTATGCTGAGATATATCGAATCCTGGTCATCATTCATCCATTCTGATGCATTTTGCACTAGTTAGCCTGCCTCCCTGAGCAGTTTACATCGAATGCGTATTGTTTTGTTGTACAAAAGATTATTATTTATTAGTATTGTATAGAAGAAATAAACAAAAGCAGCTCTAATCAGGTGAACTATAGCTGCGGCTAAAACTGGGCAAGTTTTTGCATTTTAACTTATGGAAAATCTTGTTTGTGCAACTCTCCAAGGACCAAAGGGATCTGTATTGGCCATGTTTCAGCACACGGCAATGAGGTTCAGACTTCAGAAGTCCAAACTGATTTGTGTCTTCCCTTCCCACCATGTACTATACTGATTGCTATCTTGCAACTTGAAACTCATCATTGACCAACAGTTTCATCGATCAGAGCCTATTAACATGCAGAGATATAATATCTAATAGCATTTGTGTTCAAGTTGGCTCACATCTTAAGCTATACTTATATTTCTAGAGCATAAACAGTAATAAATTCATAAGATGAAGAATGGATTGTATTTAATACGTATCAAATATCGCATTGAAGTAACTCGTTAGGCTCTGGTCCTACACATCTAAAGCCATACTACTCCATTAAAAAAAAGGAAAAAAAAGATAAAACATTACTTTTAGGGATGAATTTGAACGAATTTGGACTTCTGGGGACTTGTCAAATTTAATTTATCCCTCGAAGTTGATTTTTTTTTTCTTTTGGACAGAGGGTGTACTGTAGAATCTAGGCAGCATTATGCAGTTGCACATCTGGAGTTGCAATTGTAACTTTTCAAGATCCAAATTATAGTACTTTCAGTAAAACGGAATGAAAAACATGCGCATATAATGATTTTTTAGGCTCAAATCATGACTATACTTACCTTAATATGCATCACATCATTCAACCTTATTAGTAATAATGTGGTGTCATGTGGATCTCCATTCTCCAACTTCTAAAAAGAAGCTGGAACTGGTAACAACTTCCAGAGATGGCCAAACTAATTAGCATGTTGGTTCTTTATTAGGCACTTTTTTTTTGGCAGAGGTAATAGTAAGTAGGATATGATTATCTTGCAAGTTAATAATATTAAACTCTTAGTAAGATACACAGTGATATAGAGCTCAGAAGACAGTGAAATGAGCTTTCTCTTTCGTTGTTAATTGAACTGAATTATCCCAAGTTACTTTCATCAATTTAACGAATTGACAGGTGATTACTGATCATGACATCCACTGATAGCCTGCTACTCATGAGAACAATTTACTACTGGATTTTAAGTTTTTGCTTATAACGTTTGACCACTCGTCTTATTCAAAATTTTTTGAAATTATTAATTATTTTATTTGTGACTTACTTTATTATCTACAATACTTTAAGCACAACTTTTCGTTTTTTATATTTGCAAAAAAAAATTGAATAAGACGAGTGGTCAAACGTTACAAGCAAAAACTGAAAATCCCTTATACTGTGGGACGGAGGAAGTATATATGTTAGGTCAAAGAATGCTGCTTCGAGGTGCTGTAATAAAGGTTAATTTTGTTCCTTTTGAGATGCCAATTAAGCTAGCCAAAAAGAGGCGATTGCAAACTGGTAGGAACAAACTATATGAGAAAGGTTACTTTCTAAAGGAAATTATGATAATGTTGTTTGACCAAAGCTAGCAAAGGTAAAGCAAATGCTTCCTTTTCGCTTTCGGTAATAGCAGTAACATGTCGATCAATCAAGAGACCAAATATTGTAATTAATTAACAAATGGTAAACAAAAGTGCTCCTCACAAATGGCATTTTACCGAAACTGATTGGATTATGTATTTTACCGAAACTGATTGGATTAACAACTTGGATCCATACAAGTCAATTGCCTCACCTGCAGAGCTCAAATATTCCTAGGTAATTTGAGTGATCATCTTTTACAATTCAGCTTAATTTTTTTCAGGCATGCCTCAAAATGAGATTCATGTGGAAATCATGCACAAAATTATGGAAGTTTCATTAAAATTCATGTAAAATTTCTCTCTTCCAAACTTGAATGTTCCAGAGTTCCTAGCAGATGAGAATATGTAGTCTCCTACGCCTATCAGTCTATAAATCGAGAAAGCATGGAGACTGAGTAGTAGTAAAAGGCAATGCGTGCACATGGCAGGATGAAATCAAAGGTGCTTTGCAATCGCAAAGGTTATAATAGCAGCAGTAAACTAGTCATCAAAGTAATTAAAGGGAGGCATCTTAGCTTGTGGATGTGATGCATCAAGCATGCGGGCAGAGACGCCATCATGAATGTAATTCCCTTTGATCTAATATTTACTATTTTTTCCTAAAAAATTCTCAACATTTTGGTTTCAGTTTCAGATTCAACTCTGAAGATTTTTGTTCTGTGAGAAACAACAGATTCCATATATGAAGGTATAAGATATATACTGGTATTGCAAACAAATAATTAACCATATTCTCTGCAGGTAAAAGATTTTAATTTGTGTCAAGAAATATAAGGTAGTATTTACCCGCATAATTTGGAGATATATGCAACTTCAATAGCAACGCACAAGTTGTACATCTAGGATTTTGGTACATATCTCCATAACAATTCCACTCCAGTTAGGAAATTGTTTTTGCCTCAACAAAAAGAAGAGGAAATTGTTGCACACTCCTAAATTATTTTTAGTTAGTTTCTCTCTTTTTTATTTCTCATTAAAGTTTTTGAGACTTGCCATCAGTTATGAACAACACCTATCTTCTTTTTAGTTTTTTAATTGAATATCACACATGCCTGCATGGATCTCATCAGAAACATAGCCACGTTTGTAGTGTACTGTTTAGATGCTCCATACTGATATGATGATTAGATATGTTTCTTCCACAACATCAATCCCGACATCCAAATCGTCAGAAGTTAGCAATGTTGCATTTGTTAATTGGATTTGCCAACACTAATGCTTGTGGGGGTAATTATGATTACACGTGCGGCGCCAAAGCATAAAAGTGACTTTGAGCACTCAAAGGGGACATGACCACCCTTGTTAATTTACTTGTATTTTACCACCATTAGTGGGATGTATGACATGCATAATATGACGTACACATGCAAGTTAAT